GGGACTTTTTGTTAGATAAATAAATAAATAAATAAATAAATAAATAAATAAATAAATAAATAAATAAATAAATAAATAAATAAATATGTCGCATACAGGCGGATGTTTCCTACCATCCGGGTCTCTTTTTCCGGAGTGGACCAGGACTCCAAGTACATCGTCCTGATGGACATTGTTCCGGTGGACAACAAGCGGTACCGCTACGCCTATCACCGTTCCTCCTGGTTGGTGGCCGGCAAGGCCGACCCCCCTCTGCCCGCCAGGTAAAGACCCCAACACACTCCATCTGTCCAGGTGTCTTCAGGATTACTTTGTCGAATAACTGGCAAAATGAAGTCACGTTTTTAGCTCTTTAAAATTAGTGAAAATGTAAAGATTTAAACAAATATTATTTAAGTTCGTCTTAGAGGCGAATTGAACGTATCAAGTCTCAGTGAAATTTTTGATTGGGATGTCTGGAAATAATAATGCTAATAATAGAATAATATTAATTTAACATATATTATCCATAACATTACCTAATTAAAAGTATATAAGCAAATTAAAGTTGTATTTTTGTGTTTTATTTATTTATTTTATATGCAGGATGATTATCTGTGTAGTCTCCATGTAACAACCATACGTTTGGTGCTTACCTATTATTTGTTCAGAAGGCCAGTAGCATGGTCGTTTCTTTTATCTATTGAAAAAAGAAACGACCATTCAGTCATCTATTTTTCATGTAATTAACATGCTATATAGCTAGTTATATAGCTAAATTATTTCAGGATCTGGATAATTATTCAGATTCTGAACACAGTCAGTTCTTACTAAAAATAAATAAATAAATAAATAAAAAATCACGTCAATATTTTCCGTCGTTAGTATACACCTGTATGTTAAGAGTAATGTGCATAAACGGCGATAATCAGCGTGATATCATAAATCAAATTCTGCAATTTTTCAAGAAAAACTAAATAGTTTATCCTTTAAAAACGAATTTCTTCCTCACGACAGGTTTAGTCAGAAGTTTTACGACGAAACGTTTGATAAGTGCCAATTAGAGTCAATCAAGATCCGCGCGTTGATTGGTCGTGGCGGCTGCGCTTGAATGCCTCTCGGCCAATCAGATGTGAGATGTCGTGCTCTCCTCCGGCAGGTTGTACGTCCACCCAGACTCTCCGTTCACCGGAGAGCAGCTGATGAAGCAGATGGTTTCCTTCGAGAAGGTCAAGCTGACGAACAACGAGCTGGACCAGCACGGACATGTGAGAGCAACTTTTATTTTCCTCCGAAGATTACAACAAATAGGTTTTTATGGAGCCGTAAAAAGAATTAAAATAGCAAACACAGCCTGACTTCGGTGTTACGGTCAGACAAAAACATACAAATAGTTCCTAGAATGCACAAAGCAAACAGCTAAAACAAGGAAGTACATAAACCCTCACGGAGTCATTCATGTCCAACAAAAACAGAAAAATACTTTTTTTAAAAATCCAGTTTTATTTGATCATACTGTCTTAATGTTTATACATTACTTATTACTTTAAGATTCAAAACCTTAAAGTAAATGAAATAAAAAATAATAATCTACCAGGTTTAAGACATTTATGGGAGCGCAAATTAAATCCACGCAACAATTAATTCATTTTGTTTATTAATTTTAAATACATTAAGCTGTAATTTTGTAACAATGTGATCTATTTGTAGCTGATACGATTATTTCATTTATTCCTTTTGATCAGATTTTAGAGTTTTGCTTTTTTTGTTGACTGTTTGCAATTATGACCTGAATTAGTGGATAAATAAGATCTGATTTGGAGGCTGAGAACAAAACTACTATTTTTTTCTCTGCCCACCTCTTTTGAGTTTCCCCTTTCCATTCTTTGTCTTCATATTATATTTCTCTTTTATTTTTACCAGATAGGCCAGGAGTCTCCAGAGCCTTCAGTATGTCTCTGAACCTTGCTAAAAGACTCCTAATAAATCTAAATCTGATAAAAAGTGATAAAGAACCAGTCAATATTTCAAAACAAATATATAATAATAATAAATGCAGGATTTGAGTTTCAGTGGAATAGTTGCTCTAAATAGCAAAAATGCCCTAAAATACCAGAAATACTGTTTGTCATTAGGTTGGATATATGTGAATGAGTTTTATTCAGCTGGACTGACGACAAATATGGGTCTTTGAACGGCAGAGTTTGCAAAGAATTTGACAATTTTGTCCAACACTTTACTGACCTCAGATAATGATTTAAGAAACCATATCATCAGAGTGTGCCTCTTTGTCAAAGGTTCAAATTTCCTCGATTTGGGAAACTTTAATTCAAACTGAAAGAAAACTGAGAATAAACACAAATTAACCAGCATCTTTACTGGGTTTTGTTTTAATTTCTGAAATCATCTTCTTACGTGGTGTCAGGCAATGAGAACAATCATGTTTTAATCATGTTATTACTGGGTTTATGCTGAGCTGCAGTTTTATTCTTTAGTCATTTTCTCTTTATAATGTGTTTATACATGTATAAGTATTAAGAGACCAAAGCCTTTCGGTTTGTCTGTTGTCCTCAGGAACAACAACAAATTAGCACAGAAGGCAGCGCTGCATCTGTTAAGGACCTGGAGGTCGTCCAGTTAGTGTTGGTGGGAGTGATTTACAGTGTAAACAGTAACGAAGGGTAATGTCCGGTGGTCCAACATGCGAGGCTGACTGATAGGCCAAGTCAAGGAGAACAGTCAACTCCAACCTCTCTGATGCAAAATAAGAAAATAATTTATCAGGTTTTGAGTTTATTCTGTTGTTTGCAGTATAAAATACCTTCTTTTCATCATATCTTATTTTTGCTCTCTTTGCAGATCATCCTGAACTCTATGCACAAGTACCAGCCACGAGTTCACATCATTAAGAAGAAGGACCACACCGCCTCGTTGCTCAACCTCAAATCGGAGGAGTTTCGCACCTTCGTGTTCGTCGAGACGGTCTTCACCGCCGTCACAGCCTATCAGAACCAGCTGGTGAGTAAATTAAGTCAAGTCACGACTTTGTATCTCTGCTTGTCGTAAGGAGCGTTTGAGTTCATCACAGAAACCTCATCAGCACAGGAGTTATGTGTAAACTGAGATCAAAAATGTGATCTGAACCAGAGGGTGGCGATTTTAAAGTGATAATCATAAATTAATATTTATTACCATGTTGTAATCTCTACAACATGTGATACACAAACTCACAATAAAAGTAGATGACAGACATCAAACATACAAACAAAATATCGAGATGCTGCATCTTTTTTTTTGGAAGAATCATTAAAGTCTTACAGCCTTGTGCAGCATGGAGGTCCGGATTTTGAATCCTAATCTGGAGTTTGCATGTTCTCCCTGAGCATGCATGGGTTCTCTCTGGGTACTCCAGACTCCTCCCACTTCCAAAAACAAGACTGTTAGGTTAATTTGTCTCTCCAAATCATCCTCAAGTGTGAGTGTGTGTGTGATTGTTTGCCTTGTGTTCTGTTGGCAGTGAAAAACCTTTATTTGTGGCGCCCCCTGGTGAGCAGTTCGGGGTACTTGTTCTCAAAATGACCAGGCTTAAGATTTGTGTCTTTTTATCAAGTGAAACTGATATTTGGAACCACAATAAAGTATGGGAACATACTGTAAAAGAATTTATCAATTTGAGTTTATTCTGTTGTTTGCAGTATAAAAACTTGCTTTTCATTGTGTCTTGTATTTGCCGTCGTTGCGCCTTGCAGATTATCCTGAACTCAATGTTTCCATTAAAATATGGAAGCACACTTTAATGTGTTTATAATCTACAGTTTCTATTTTATTAAAGCATTTTTTGAAAAGTATTCTTAATTTTATAAAAAAAACTAGCATCATTCTGAGCAAAAAAGGTTTTAATTTTATGCTATATGTTGTAGAAAGGTTTTATAAAATAGAAACCAGGACAAGTGACTTTTATGTATTTATTTATTTATTTATTTTATTTTATTTTTTTTTACAAAGAATTGTGTTCATTAAACATATTTGTAAATTAAAGAATAACTTATTTTACAGCATGAAGATGTGCCAATCATTGATTTTTAGAAATTGCTGACAAATATTGACTCTAGATTTGATAATGTGGCACTAAAAGAATTAAGTTTAGACACAAAGGAGTGAAAAAAGAAAAGTATTTTGGAGCAGAGAACAGAAACAGACATGTCTAACATGTTTTCTGCTGGGGTGTGTTTTTCCCAGATAACCAAGCTGAAGATCGACAGCAACCCGTTCGCCAAAGGTTTCAGGGATTCGTCGCGGCTGACGGACATGGAGAGGTACAGGGGATTCTGGGCCCAGCACTGTTTGTTGGCCTCTCATAAGACACACACGATTTTATTCATCAGGATCTTTCTTGTTTCTTTCACATCTTCCTCTTTTCTGTGTTCCTTCACTTCACTCTTCTAAATATTTAAAATATCCCTTTCCTCTAGTGTTTTTTTCATGCTGATCATCCAAGTTTATACCATATTTTTCACTTTTTACCCTAATCCATGTTCACTTCATTGTTGAGGATTTTTGTTCTTTTTATTTATTTAATTATTTATTCTGTTTTCCTTTTCTTTTTCATAACTGTAACCGCTCATTTCTCTTTTTGCCATTTGTGAATTTTTTCTCCCGTCTTTTCCTCATTAAGAACTTTGTTCCTCTTTCCTTACAGCTCGTACTGATCTGCTTTGACAGATGGGTCGTTTTTACCTTTTTCTTTTTAGCTTGAGTCTTATAATAAAATTGAATGAAACAAATAATTTTATTTGATTTATATACTTATTTACCTGAAACAATGCAGCTAAACATAGTGGACACAGAGTGTATATAATGGTTTCCATAAAAGAAACATAGCAATTTAATAATTCAAAGCTAAAGTCCCTGGCTGGATTTGCAAAAATAAATAAGCTTTTACTGAACAAGTACAGTAAAACCATATCAACAATAAAAAAAGGTCTGCATGACATGGAAAAGTACACCAGTGGATTTACACAAATATGAAAAGTTTGAGCTAATTAAAAGTGTGTAAAGTATTAAAAATGGGTGCAATCTTCTTTGGCTAAATGTGAATATTATTAACACAGAGGGGCTCAACTGCAGACATTCTAATTTTTTAAAGATTAAACATAAGAAAACTAAAAGAAATCAATTAAACATTGAAATATCAATAACTTATCTTTTCTAACGCATGACAATGATGCCAGTAAATTATGGATAAGTTAAATTACGTATAAGTAGCAACGACAATGACACTTCTTATTGATGAGGTTAATCATTTGATTGTATATTGACTTTATTACTGAAAGGGCCATTTATCTTCTGAAATGAGGAAAGATCACATTTATATTAAAGCTGCTTAGTGTGGCATGTAGCTGAAAATGTTTAAAACTTATTTGTTAGATATACTTGACATCAATCACAGACAAATGTGAGGTTTAGTTCCTTAGAAATTCAACTTCAACTTTAAGTGTGTTGTTTGTTAAAGTTCTTAATTTAAAAATACCTGAAAAATTTATTTTTAAAATTGAGTAATAGTTCATTTTAAATGAAGCACTGAGTCATTTAGTAAACAAACAGGGCATTACTGCGTTGTCCGCATAAAGTTCACATGTCACTGTTAAAATGAGAAACTTAAGGTGAGTTAATAATTCATAAGACAGGTCACTTTTAAAATAAACTTCTCATCTGTTTCTCAACTCAAATTTCTACATTCTTTAAGTTTGTGCCAATGAAAGGCTTTTTTTTAGTCAAAACATTGTTTTGTCCATCTTCACATTTCCTTCTGCTACTTTTTTCTTTTCCTTATTTTAGTTTTCATCCCAACAATATAATGCACAGAATTCCCAGAGAAACGCAGAGACTATGAACCGCCGCGCCTCTGCCGATTTTAGCAGACGCAGCCAAAACACAAACTTCTCGTAATTCCCGATTCCGGCACTGTGGCCAAAATCAGCTGACAAAATCAAGCCATCTGCCCATTTCCCTCAATCAAAGATCCCAAACAGAGACCGCCGAACGCATCCAGACGACCCTTCCTCCCCCTTGTACTTCTCCGTCTTTCTCTTTGTGAGGGCTGTGAATTAGACCTGATCAATTGGTCTTCGGGAGCTGCAGAAATCACATTAGTCTGGAGTCGGCCACTGCACTAAAACACACTGTAATTCAATTGGCTGCAGTGACTGATTGAAACCAGCATGCCCCGCCTTTCCCCCCCTACCGCCATGCACTGTGGGAGTTTGCTTTGGCTTCTGCGCCGCGGGGGCCCAACACTGATAAAAACACACACATTTGTACTCCTCTGCTGACAGATATTGCACTTTCCTAACCTAATTGGAGGGTTTCGGGCTCCAGAGGGGTGGGGCTGAGGAGGGACGCTGCTAATGTGGACGCATTGGTCTGATGATGCACACACATGAACACACACCGCCTCCCCCAACAATATCTGTCACTGTGGTTTAGAAGTGCTCCCTGAAAAGTCTCAAATGAGCTAATGCAGTTTGTGGGACTGTGAACACATACATGACACACATGTGCCTGAATCTACACACACCAGCTGAAAAACAAAGTAAATACACAACCTAGACACACTCATAGCAATGCAAGAGCTTATTTTACTGAGTGACGCCACATAAACAGTTCATTGGGAAAATATTCAGACCTCTTGAGCTATGTCATACGCTGCAAAAAACATAAAATCTTACCTTTGCTCTAGGTTCTACTGATAAAATGTTAGTACACTTAAAATAAGACTAAACTAATTTGCATATAACTTTTCACTTATTTTAAGTCAGAATTTCCTTAATATTGTTTAAAATTGGTAGATTTTGGACCATCGACATTTTCCCCCAGAAGTTAGATTTTTTTCTAGCACATTTTTTACTTTTAAAACTTAGAACTTTCCACAATTTCTTCAGAAATTTTTTTAGATTAATCTCAAAATTTTGGAGTTTTCTTTGGCAAAAAGTTCTGTTTTTTTTTTCTTTTTTATTAGCAATAGCCCTGACACGCCGTCAAAGCTAGCTTATGTTTTTATCATACCAAAATAAGCTTATTTTTAAATTTTGGATAAAAACAGAAGTTCCATCTGATGATTGATGACTCTTTATCAAAACTACAATATGTTGACAACTCTAATTCAAGAAGATTTGATTTGATCCTTGATGTGATAAAAGTCCAGTAGGAAAAGGAGGTCAGTGGGATATGGGAGTGTTCTTGATCATTTATGCCACATTTATTTTGTTTTATGTGTCTTTATCATTTTTTATGGCCAAATTAGAAAAAGAGGACAAAACTGACTCAGAAGTCACCACTGTTAAAGTCCACCTGTGCAGATAAGAAAACTTTGCTAAATGATTTGTCTCTCCTGTTATCTTTTTAAGGTTGTTGTAGAAAAGATATCATACAATTGTGGCGGGAATTGAAGTCTTTCCCATTGCGTTTATGTGTTTTACGTAGAAAAAGCCAGAGTCAGTGTGTTACTGTGTAACTCAGACTTAGTAATCTAGCACTGGGTGTGACCTGCACATGTGACTGCTGGTGCAATGATAAAACAAAAGAAACAAAGAGATTTACTTTGGGGCTCTCTCTTTGGCTTTTGCTGCAGGGAAAGTGTTGAGAATCTGATCCACAAGCACTCGTACGCCCGATCGCCGATCAGAACCTACGCTGGCGACGAGGAGAACCTGAGCGAAGACGGACACACCACACACACCAGAGGTGAGCGCTCTGAAAAGCTCATTATTTTCAGTAACTCAATTTGCTGAGTGAATCATATATATTACACATACAGTGATGCTTTTTTGTGCAACTCTGACTTAGTAATCTTTAAATATTTTTAAAGAAAAGCCTTTAATTTTTATTTATTTATTTTATTTTAATGATTATGGCTCACAGATAAAAATCCCCTTGTCAATGACTCTTAAAATTTGGGTATTGTGAAAATTTTACAGCATATTCATAGAAAATTGTGTGAAAGGAAAATGTGCACCAGCAACAGGGACCACTGTAGCCACGACCGGTTTGTGAAGAAAAATCTTTTCAAGAATTTGGGGAATCTTCAAGGGAGTTGACTGAGACCGGAGTCAGTGCCTTAAAGCTGAGCTCCAGCATGTTTGGTCAGCTGGTTTTACCGCTGCATGTGCAGTACAGTGAATACTGGAAAAGACTCACCATTCAGAAAGCACTTGCTGCATTATTGTTGGTTGTGCAGCAGGCTACACTTCTGCTTTTCAAAGACATACCTGTTGTATGATTGCAGTTTTACATGCAAGTGTAAACGTTCGGTTTGGGTTTTGTGTTCAGCAGCAGCTTATTTGGGTTTAAAGTGACAAGAGACCAGAAAGAGTTTTGTTTCGCTCATCCTAACCTGTCCAACGAAGCATAATATTCACCTTTAACTAATCTGATCAGCCCATTGTTTATCTCTATCTTTTCCTCCTGCAGGATCAGCGTTTACGGCCTCAGACAACCTCTCCCTGAGCTCCTGGGTTACCACCACCTCAGGCTTCTCGGGTTTCCAGCATCCTCAGACCCTGTCAGCCATGGGGACTGGAACCGCCTCCTTACCCCACCCCATCCAGGGATCCCTGCCCCCGTACAGCCGGCTAGGCATGCCGCTGACGCCCAGCGCTCTGGCTGGAACCATGCAGGGCAGCGGGCCGTCCTTCCCTTCCTTCCACATGCCCCGCTACCACCACTACTTTCAGCAGGGGCCCTACGCTGCCATCCAGGGACTCCGCCACTCCTCCACAGTCATGACGCCCTTCGTATGACTTCACACAGCAGAGGGCCAGAACTCAGTCTGACCTTCAAAAGGGTGCAGACCATTAATCCTCATCACTCCTCATCTGGCTTGCACCTGTCCCTCCGGTTGTAAATAATTCACCTGCAGCGAGTGGGGCGACATGAAGAGGAATCTGCACACTGAACTGAGGCAGACTGTGCTCCTCTCTCAGGATCTGACTCCTAAGAACAGCTCCGATGTAGGAAAAGACTGATGACTTCATTGCAAAGCAAATGCAAGACAAAAATACGTGCATGCATGTTTTATTTCAGCCCTCGAATACAAAGTACACTTTCTAAATGTTTTTAAAATGGCAGCAAAACCCTGCAGGGTGCGATTCCTAAAAAATGACAGACGGAGGGTGGATGGAACAAGCAGCCATCTTAGCTCCTCTGTGTTAGGAGAGCCATATGTACAGTTCAGAATAACGATGACACACTCTGGGATCCACTTACTCAGAGGTTTCTCGCTGTAAATTATTTAAAAAAAAAGAATCCTAGAACGCATGCTGACTGCAGTAGACACACACATTGCTTAACTTTGTATGTTTTAACATGGAATGAAGGACTTCACGTGTAAAAGAGCTAAATGTTTTTGTTTTAAAGGCCTGGTCACACCAGGAATTACAAACCTGCTTTTAACCGAGGCTGTGAGAGCAGACTGCGTCATCAAAGCTGGATGCAGCAACTTATTGTTTCCCCAAGGGTTGTACTTTAGACATATTACACACAATCTGGCGAAGGATGAGACCAATTTGTCAAAACTGTTTTTGTTTTCAGTTCAAAATGGTTCAAAGTCATTTCAAGGAGATTCCAGAGAAAGTGCAGATGTTTGAGTTTTATCCCACTGTTTGGAGGATAATCAGCACTAATCCTCTCTCATTTGTTGCTACACACTGCTGGTCAGCTGGCTGAAGGATGGCTACCATATATGTCAGCCATGCTTACAAGAAAGGAAATAAAAATGAAACGTCACCCACCACACTTATTAAGCTAATGCTGTTTTAAACCATTTAGCAGCGAACTGCAGGCTCTACACAAGCAAATAGCTTCACTAATTACATTTTTAATTTTTCATAAATACTGTGAAATCATAATAAGTCTTCATACCATGAGAATCGCATTCTGGCTCATGTCTACTTCACACCATTAGCATAAAATATAATTAGTGATGGCAACAAAGCTGAATCTCACACCTTATTTCAAAAACTTTCCTCAACAACAGAGCTGAGAAAGAATATAAGAACGTATTTCATCCTCCTTCGGTGCACTTGCAGAGCTCAGAGTCTAGGCCAAATGAATTAAATCAAAAAAGTAAATTGTATCTGATCTTAATGCTCCTACAGTCTTCTTAAGAAGGAAACATTTAAAAGTTGCTTCCAGGCAAGCAGTCAGAAGTAATAATACAAACATACGAGAAGAAAAACAGCAACATCAACTGGTTGAAATGGAGTCAATTTAAGAGTAGAGAGACCTAAACGACCCAATTTAACTGTTTAAATTGGGTCAAGCTTTGCAGAGATTTGGTGAAGGTCTCTGCAACCTTCAGATGGGCTAAAACTACCTGCAGGTGATATGCAGCAGGTTGAGTTGATTCAATGTTTACAGCTTGAAGTAATGACTCTGTGTCCTGATTTAAAAGCACAGGGAGAGGAAAAATGTGGAAGCATGAAGAGCTGACATGTAACTCGCTATTTTGGTCGTTTATTTAAAATAGAGAGAGGGAGACCAGATTTACAATTCTGTCCTGGTAAAACACCAACATATTCCTGAGTATTTAGATTTTTAGTCCATGCAGGTTTTTGTTCCCACTTGCAAAAGGCTGAAATGATGTGAGAACAATTACCAATGTCGATTTAGTTTTCAGCTTTTTGTGAAAATAATGAAAGGTGTTACTTGTAACAATAGTCTGTTGCTGCATGAAAGTCAGATTATTCAGAAATGTTTCAAGAGAGCCAGGAAAACAAACGCTGTACAATGACCTGTGCAACCTTTTCACATCCACAAGCCGTTTATGGACGTTTGATTTGATCCTCTTGGATGGCAGAAGACTTTCTTTTTCAAAGACGTCTTTATCTGATGTCCAGCTTGAACTGAGTTTTGGTTTTTTTCAGTGTACACATAAATACCTTTGGATTTTGATTTTTTTATTGAAGATAATCGTTTTTGTTTTTTCTTAATGTTTTGTCTGGCATAATCTGACCCCAATAAGTTTTTGTTTTACTGATTTTTAAGTGCAATATATTTATTTTGATCTGTGGAAAGAATCTGTAATGTTCTGTATCACATTTAAAGTTATTTGTAAACCATGAGAAATATATATATATAAATCACAATCAAAACATTTCCTGTTTTTTTTAATCTTTTTTCTTCCTGGATAAACTATCTAGGAAAATAAAATAATTAGGGATGAAATACTATTGAGTATTTTGAAAAGTCAATTTATTGAAAACATTTCAATGAGGAAAGTTTCATAAGCAGAAACATAAATAAAAATAATATATTGGTCTTTGTGATTACATCCTACACCTTTTGGTCTAAATATTTGGAAAAACTTGCAAAACATCAGATTAAGGATTTTTTTGGCATTTGATGAATAGCTGCTAGCATGAGCACAATTTAAGCTTCCACTACGTTTCAGGAATGTCTTTTAGTGTAAAAAAAAAAAGACAAATGAAATGAAAAATTCCGTAAAAATGCAAAATTATGATCTTAAACCTTTAATTAAAATGTCAATTAAGAAGCAATAATTTGTCAAAGTAAATAGTAAAATGGTGGGGTAATTACATAGAATCCATTAATATTAATAGCAATTAAATGTTCTCTATGCTTCATAAGTATGTTAGTATAATGAGTCTTTTGTAACTTAATATGCAATAAATGACCATATGAAATATACCCAGATGACAATTAAATGGCATCTTGTCAACAGACAGAAATCAACAAATAGTTAATTTTCTTGCAGAATTCCATAACTGCCGTTCCTTTAAATATATTTTGTAATGAGAAAGCTTTTACATCATCTTCTTGAGTTATGATACAAAGCACAATTGTGGGTCCACATCTTAAAGCAGGGGTGTCAAACTCAATTTCACCGAGGGCCACTTCAGCATATTGGCCCCCCTCAACGGGCCACATTGACGGTACAAATCAGGAGAGCATCCCTGCTAAAACACCCCAGACAAAAGGTTGACTTCCCTCATTCAGTTCTGTAGAGGCTTATAATGAGTCAATGGTCCAGGTGTGTTAGAGAAGGAATGTATGTAAAGCTCCAGATGGTAGCTCTGGAAAACTAGACTTGGGCGTCCCTAGCATAAATGTATAAAAATACAATGTTAAAAATAAATTAAGCACCACCTCATATTGTTAAATAACTGATTTTATGTATTGAAGTTTTAAATATTACATTTGAGTTTCCATGGATGTAAAATTACTGCTCAGTTTAAAAATTACAATATTTAAATCAGTGTTTAAAGGTAAGAAAACAAGTCACATGGGCAGACATTATAGACTTTATGCAAAGTCTATAAATCAGTTAATTAAAAAAATCCTTTCTGAATATCATCTCATGGTCTCTGAACTAAATGCGTCTTTCTGACCGGGAGCTGACAGCGTGTTGAAGAGTTATGGACCGGGCGCTTCGGAGCGTCTGGTTAGGAAGCGCATTACAAACCTTTGGTTGAAATTTAGATGGTAGTCAATTTGTGCTCAAAACCTATTTTAAGTCAATCATCGGCCTATAAAATGCTGTGGGGCCACATGTGACACGCGGGCCTTGAGTTTGACACATGTGCATTACGCCACAGAACTGCCAATTTGCCATTGAAGTCGCTTCGATTTCAAAGAAGCCTACATTGAAGTCGATTGGCAAATGAACAATGACGAAAGAGGAAGGCTCTTGTTGTCTCACTGCACCCCAAGAGATGCATAACCTACAAAAACTGTTTCTGTCCAGTTTTGAACCAGAGACCTTTTGCATGTAAAGCAAACATGATAACCACTACACTACAGGAACTGAACTTCTCTGAGTTGTTTCAGTTTGAGGTTCCAAAGTTGATGATGTGAGATGCAACGCATGAAAATTTAAACTGAGGTTTGCACTCAGATGCCTGGATTCAGAGTACAGACCATGACACCACAGAACCCTTGTTGACCTTTAGTAAACATCTGTGATGAATAGAATAGACTAAAACTGTTTCTGTCTGGTTTCGAACCAGAGACCTTTTGCGTGTGAAGCAAATGTGATAACCACTACACTACAGAAACTCAGCTCTTTGCAGTGTTCCTGGTAGATGATCCAACATTTTGTTAGAGACTAATGTCAACGATGGGCATGGAACAATGTCAAATACTTACAGATCCTCTCAGAGAGCACAGTAACTTGGTGAACAAACTGCCAGACTTATACTTGTGCCTAATTTCACATTACAGTCCATAAACTAAGCCTGGGATCAACAAATTGTATTGAAGATGTCATTAGCAGAGACAAATGGTTCTAGAGAGACTTGGCTAAATGGCTAAAAAATAAAATCAATACTTACATATAAAAGATGGTTCAAAAATAAAATTAACACATTAAAATAAAAAATATCTGTGAAATACAATCAACACTTCAAAATACAAAATCTCTGGAAAATAAAATATTATGTATGTTGTTTCGAAAAACATTAGAA